CGCTGGCGCAGTCGGCGGGGAGGAGGCCAACTTCGCTCCCAGGCTGGACGCCTGCACCCACCAGGCGCCGAACCGAGCCCCTCGTGGGACTCGTTGAAAGGCCAGGGCTCTGGAGCCATAACCAAACCCGGCGCCTCCAGAGCACGTGCAGAGGGCCTCCCTGCAGTCGCCTCAGCCCGCCCGCTCCGCACACCTTCTGCCAGGCTTCGCGGGAGGAGATCCCCGGTGCGCGCGCCCGACCGTAAGCCGCGGCGCTTGGAGGGGGAGCGAAAGGCCCCCCGCCTCCGCCCGCTCCGCAGATCCTTCGGCGTCCCGAAAGTTTTCCCCGCCTGCCTTACCGAGAAAGAGCCGGAGGTCCTAGCGCGGTCCCTGCCCTCCCCACGGCTGCCCGGGTTCCCAGCCCACCCATTCGGGGAAGGGCGAGGGAGCGGGAGCAACCAGCGCCGCGGCGCCGACCGACGACCGTAGTCCGGAGCGGGAGGGCCGCTTCCGCCGCTCGCTCTCCCCGACCCCCTCCTCCCTTCTGCTGGCGTTCTTCCTCCGCCCCTTTTCTCCCAAACTTTTCTGGTCACTCGCGCGTTCTGCCCGCCTCCAAGGCTCTCCGTGGGCCTCCGGCTCCCCAATCACACGCGCCCCGCCCAGCGTGCTTCTTTGTGCCCCGCACCGTAGCACGCCCCCCGCGTCCCCCCGCCTAATGAAGCAGGCGGAAGGAGAGGCGAAGGCGAGGCGCCCGCTAAGCTCGTCCGTCCGTCCAGCCCGGCGTCTTGGACTCGAAACGTGCGCCGGTCGCTGCCGGGGCGTCCGGACCGTCCCCGCTCCAGCCTCCCGTCCCTGAAGCAGGGCCCTGTGGCTCTCCTGCCCAGATGCGCTGCCCCCTGTAAGCCTCCTGCGAGCCCTCTGCGCGGTGGAATAAAGCGCGCATTTTGCTCCCGGACAAGGACCCCGTTGTTAGGACTGCCTCGCCTGTTCCAGGGCTGACAATGAACTCTGGAAACAGCTGCTGGGGGTCGGGAGCGGGGCTGGAGGGCTGAACTCGCCTTCTGCCAGCCCCACTGATTTTTTTCTCCTCATCTCCCTTTCCACCCCATCTAGCGGCTGAGAAGATTTGTAGGCATTCCCAGCTTAGCTGGGGCATGGACAGAAACCCGTTTTCTGGGCCTGCACAATCCCTTGCCCCAAACTAAGCAAACGGGATAAATGGGTACGACTTATGCTCTCAGCCTCTTGTGGAGATGGGTGGCCTGGAAAGCGGTTCAGGGGAACCCAAGAGTGGGAGTGGAAGGATCTGGAGGGGGTGGGGAGTGATGCTGGCTAGATGGCACCCCAAAATCTCCCTCCCACCAGTGACACCCCCCCATTTTCCGTGCATGCAACCTGCAAGCAACAGATGATGAGAGGGAGGCCTCTGGGGGCCCTGGGGCCTCTGAGGGGGAGCTGAGCTCAGCCTGCCAGCGCTGGTAGCACTGGTGCTCACCTGCCCAAAGCCCAACTTCTCTGGTCAGAGGCAGAAGGCCCTTGAGAGCCGTTCCGCGCCAGCCTGATGCCCCACAAATGTGTGGAGGCTTGGGGCTGTGAGGAGGGGGCAGAGGGAAAGCTGTGGTGCAGGTACAAGCTAACGGCATTTGGGTAAGTGGCTTACTGGCTAACTGGCTGTGGCGTGACAGCCAGTCAGGGCCAGGCGCCCCTCCCCTGAGACAGAGGGCGATGTTGCTTGGGCTGGGGGCGCAGCCTTGGGGCTTTGTGTCCTAGGGCCAAAAGCAACCTGCAGGGGTGGGGCATGTGCTTACTTATTTATTATGAACAGACTCATAAATCACCACCATCTACACAACTCTGGGATGTAGATCTGAGCAAACTGATTATTCAGGACAAATATCTATGCCTACAGAACCAACAGCTTAAAATTAGAACAGGAAACAGTTGCAGCCCTAAACATAGCTTTTGCCAGATATTCGCCAGAACACTCTAAAGCCCAAAGGAATAAAATCCTCTTGAGGGCAGAGGGGGCTCCTGGTGCTTTGGTTGAAGGGGAGGGCACTTGGGCCCTCCCCTTCTTTGTGAATGTGCCCCTGCTCCCATTCCATCACCTTGCCCCTTGAAGGCTCTGGGGCAGGAGGATTGTCCTGCCTCAGAGCTGGAGGTTGTGGTGGGGGAACAGCCTCCCCTTGGCTCTCCTTTGCGGAGGGCTTGACTGGGACTTGCGCTGCCCAGCTTTCAGCCTTATTTATTTAATACGCCTTCTCAACGTCCTTTGTAAGATTAGACTGGGGAGGGTAGAAAAAAACAAAA